GCTCTCTGTATGTGTGTATATATATCTCCTCAATATTTATTCCACTCTGTATGCATCCGAACAAGTGGGCTGTAGTCCACGAAAGCTTATGCTCTAATAAATTTGTTAGTCTTCAAGGTGCCACAAGTACTCCTGTTCTTCTTTTTACTATGTATTAACTTCTGCTACTGAGCTTTCTGATTCAGGTGAAGTGAAGAGTTTAGGATTCTGTAAATGATTATGGGCAATACAGAAATTCTAGGTTTCAGAGTAGCAGCCGTGTTAGTCCATATCCGCAAAAAGAACAGGAGTACTTGTGGCACCTTGGAGACTAACAAATTTATTTGGGCATAAGGTTTTGTGGGCTACAGCCCACTTCATCGGATGTTTGGAATGGAACATATAGTAAGGAGATAGATATATATACACACAGAGGACATGAAAAGATGGGAGTTGCCCTACCAACTCTAAGAGGCTAATTAATTAAGAGAGAGAACTTTTGTAGTGATAATCAAGATAGCCCATTACAGACAGCTTGACAAGAAGGTGTGAGGATACTTAACATGGGGAAATAGATTCAATGTGTTGTGTAATGGCTCAGCCATTCCCAGTCTCTATTGGGTTTGATTTTTTGTTGTTGAAGCTATTTCCCTCCGAGTTTGGAGTGTGTGTATGTGGTTTTCAAAATCCATTTTAAAAACATGAGCATTTTAGTATTACACTTTCATGGCATCTCTACAAGTAACCAGAGTGGATTAAAATCAATTAATTTAAATCAATCTTGTTTTGCATTTGTGCTATTTTGTTGGTTTTCTAAAGAGGCTTAGTCTCTGTTTGGTTAAAACATGTTGACATGTAAGCAAATACAGCCTTTACACTAAATTTGGTTCTTTTTGCTAACTAGGAGGGTACGTTATATCTCTGCATATTTATTTAAAGCTGTATAATAGCTTAACATACATTTATTCAGATTCTTAATTTGTTCATTTTTTGGTTAGAAAACGAATGACGCATCACAACATTACTAAATGATTTTTTTTACTCCTCATTCCTCATGCTACATTTGGATGGTAACTGAAATTCAATTCAAAATGCACAAGAACAGCATTTTCAAATGGTTTTTAATAGCTAAAATAAAACTACCTCAAATATATTGGATACATAAACTTATTTCTATCAACATGTTTTGTATTTAAAACAGATTTATTAAACAGAAGTATTAACGGTTAGTGAATTGAACTGATTGTTTACGGTCACTGTGTCCTTTAAAATTTTAGAATGAGTAGGTCTCATCCACTCGCATCTCATTTTTCTTTGTAGAGTGGAAAAGGAAAACAAGCTTTTCTGCTTTTTCAGCTCCCAATCTGTTTCTCAACTTTGAGAACCAGTCATTGAACTGAACTAGTCAAACTAAAATGAAGAAAGTATTGTCTCTGCACCTGCACAAAGGACTATTGTCAAAAGTTGGTTTAGCACTTTACAAAACTCTGGTTTGTAGCCAGTGACTTCCACCAGTTCAATGGTTTGATTTTTTCTTTTTTTGAACTTTGGCAGCAGACTTGTAGTGCTTGAATATTGCTTTTAATTTAATAGATGATAGTAAGTTTAGGCTTTAATAGGTGGTTATAATTTCAAATTTAATATTAAATACATTCATTTGTAAAGAGATTTAAATCCAGTTTTTAAAAAATCACTGATTTTTATGCACCCTGCAGGTAACTCTTTGAAATGCTGTCCTCTTATTTCATGTAACTAAATCAATGTTTCTGGCCCATATGATAGCATGAAATATATCACAGGAACAACAGCTTGTAAATGTGGAAAATCCAGTCAGATCCCTGGGCTAGAACAGGCAGCTGTCATACTTCATGTAGGCTTGCCATATTGAAAAAATAAAGCTGTTACCTCCCTTCCTGTATGTAGGATACCAGGTCTACCATTTTATTCCATTCAGCTAGTCAGACTGGATTAGCACATATTCAAACATCAATTACTGTGGAACGTAGGTGTACACATTGGTGTCTTCAGCCTTATACTATGAAACTATCTTTGTTTTCCCTTCCATTCTAGGTTCAGAGGTTGTAGCCATGAATAATAAAGGCTTTCGACGAGGGAGTTTCCAGAGCAGCACCAGTGATGAAGACATGGTGGAGATAGCAGGAGGAGCTCTGGATTTCTCCATCACAGATGATGATCCGCCGCTGGATAGAGAGATGTTGGGAGGTAATGCTCATGTTGCCATCTCCATTAAATTCCTCATCACTAAAATCTTTATGTAGATAATTTCAGGTTAATATGTACTACTTCATGTGACTGTAGCAAGAGCCAGTTTCTTGATGGAGTGCCCAGGTTGTGGTGTAAGGGCCATATGCTTTGTGTCACTCCTATTGTGACCTCAACACAATTCTCTACATTGCACTATTTTCACCTGAGTGGCTTTCTGTACAGGCTGCTGTAGTATCATATAGCAGCCAAGTGTGCACTCACCTGCTTCCATTGTCTTCTGTCACTATAAGTAAACAGTGATTGAATTAGGACTTGGGTGCAGCACAAAGTAGCCGAGTGTTTCTTTAAAAGAGAAGGTAAGATAGACTACAGAAGGTAGACTAGTGACTGTTTGTAGGAGAGAAGCCAGGGCGTCTCCCCATCACAGTAAACTATCTAATCCTGGCTGTACACATTTAGTGAATTGTCATACAGGGAAAGTATTTTCTCTTCTCAATATATTTTTCTGTTTGCGTGATCTTTTAGTATATACAATAAATTAGCCTGCACTCTTTTTCTGTGTCTTCAAGGACTTGTTTTTCCTCCCCACAGTCCTTTCTAGGCACTTCACATATCATTGGGGGCAAGCAAGTAATTAATCAGTGGCTTGAGGCAGCCTGGTGTATGAGTAAAAGCAAACATGATCCCTGGGACAGTTATGACCCAGAAGCTCTCTTACTCATAATTGTTCAGCCCCCATCCAAAGATCTTGGCTGCTCTTCTTTATAATGCAGCTGTTATTTGAGGCGCTCTTCAATCTCCGCAAAGCCATCTGCTCTGGTTTACTGTTTTTTAGATGTTGAAAATTGGGACATTCCCCTCTATCTTGTTCAACTGATAATTACAATGTACCTTTCACTCAGGGTGAAATGACTCATTGAAACAGTTTGCATGTAATCTGCATTGCTACAGTGCAGCCACTTCAGTAAAGCAAGGAGATAAAGGTGTTTTGAGGTTCATCAATTTATAGAATATGGAATAAAGAACAAGGAGAAGAGGGACCCTGTCTATAGAGGACTTAGAATACTCTTGGGACCTCCATACCAAAAAGATGTGCACAAATTGGAGGGGATTTAGAGAAGAGCCACAAAAATGATAAAGTGGACAAAGAGACTTGAAAGATCTAATTCTATATATCTTGGCTGATCAAAAGCTAAAGGAAATGGGGTATAATGGTCTAAAGTATTTAAGACCATAGGGAGGGAGAGAAATTGATCAGGATAGTTGACTGGGATGTAAGTAAGAGTAAGGAGACTGAGCCAAGGAAAATTTAAGTTCTTCAGAAAGTATCTGAACAGGGAAATCTATTAGCTTGTGCCATCCCTGTTGCTGATGTCTTTTAAAACTGGGCTGAAGAAAGGACTCGAATACAACTGTGGGGACCATACTGATACTGACTAGAGGAGTTGTCTAGATTAGTGACTTCCAAACTTTTCCAGCCACATCTTCCTTTTAGACCATCAATGTTTTCCATTATTCTCCTCCAATGGGAACACAAGAATTGCCATACTAGGTTAGATCCAGGGACTGTCAAGCCAATACCTTATCTCCAACATTGGCCAGCATCAGATGTTTCAGAGGAAGGTTTAAAATCCCACAGTAGGCAGATGTGGCGTAATCTGCCCTATGAAGATTTCAATATCTTCCCTAATAGAGTTAAACTCTGAAACATGAGATGTTGCATTCCTTCCAAAACTTGTATTATCTATAACTCTAGATACTCTTGTTTTCCATATAAATATTCAGTTCATCTTTTAATCTTGCTAAATTCTTTGTCTCTAACATACAGTGGCAATGAGTTCCACAGTCCATGTATTGTGTGAAAAAGTATTCCATTTGGTTTTGAATTTTCCACCTTTAGTTTCATTGAATGCCCCCTGCATTCTTGTTGCAAGACTGGAAGAATAGAAAGTGTCTGATGCACCACCTCTGTACCATCCATTATTGTATTTACTTTTATCATGGCCCCTCTTATCTCCTTACTAAGGTAAATAATGCCAATTTCTTTCAAGCACTCTTTATATAAATATTTCAATGTCTCTAATCATTCTTGTCACTTCTCTAAATCTTTCCTAATTTTGCTATATCCTTGGAGTGATCAGAATAGAATTCCAGGAGAAGGTGTAGTATTGATTTATATGATGGCATTATATTTTCCGTATTCTCAGTCTTGTTCTGTAATCCTCAATCCCCAGTTTCTTACCCCACAAATAAATACCTAGCTCTTGTATAGCACTCTTCATCAGTAGATCTCAGTGTTTTACAAAGGAGGTCAATATTGTTAAACTCATTTTATAGATGGGGAAACTGAGACACAGAGGGCAAGTGACTTATCCAAGGTCACTCAGTAGATGCATGGCAGAGTAAGGAATAGAACCCGGGTCTCATGAGACCCAGTCCAGTGCTGTATTCACTATGGCACACTGCTTATAATTACTAGACAAGATTTTTTGTTCTGCATATTGCTAACGTACACAAAAATATGCATTTGTGTACATTTCATTCAAAAGGTACTTCAGTTTTTATTAAGTGTAATAACTTTCTGTATTCTTCTTAATGATAAGATGCATGAGTCTATGAGGAGTTACAAATCAGTTGTAAATGCACTGTGAAGGTTGTCAGACCCAAGTAGCTAGTTCTCAATATTCTGGGGTGGTGGTGCTTGGTTTTTAATGGCAGCAATTCTTAAAACACTGAAAACAGGAAGCAAACAGAAGTATTACTCTTAGAGCCTATGAAAAAAGTGATGGACATTCACATTTCACTGAGTACCAAAACTGATTGATGTCTTCCCTTTCCAACCATACCTCCAGTGAGTCCTTGCAAGACCAGTCCGTCAATACAGCGTGCACATCTGGTGGCAGTGTGGCTCAACAAAGGGGATTCAAATCAATCTCCTTCCAGTTTGCCTCATCCTCAGGGAAGAATTGTTTTGGTTTTGATCTAAAGTTGTAGCATGCAGGGTCTGTATTGAGCTGAGTGGAGCCGTTTACAACTCCTGGAGCTGTGGTGTCACGCTATCTGCAGATTCAGGCAAGGAGGGATAGCTCAGTGATTACTACATTGTGTTAGCCTTGTAAACATGAGTAGATCGTTATCTCCACAACCCTGTGTGGGGGGAGGAAGGAGGGTGTCTGCAGCCCTTCTGAAAAGTGTTTGCAGTGTCCCAACCCCTCACTGGGGCCACCTCCCCCACTTTGGGAATCGTTGATCTAGGATCCCCAAACAGGACTGGTGCCCACAGTTCAAGAAGGAGGTTGATAAATTGGAGAGGATTCAGAGAAGAGCCTCAAGAATGTTAGAAAACCTGCCTTATAGGGATAGACTCAAAGTGCTCAGTCTATTTAGCTTAACAAAGAGAAGGTTAAGGGGTGACTTGTCTAGTCTATAAGTTTCTACACGGGAACAAATATTGAATAGTGGGCTCTTCACTCTAGCAGAGAAAGGTCTAACATGAGCCAATGTCTGGAAGTTGAAGCTAGGCAAATTCAGACTGGAAATAAGGCACATTTTAAACAATGAGAATAATTAACCATCAGAACAAATCATCAAGGGTCATGGTGGATTTTTCCACAGTGACAATTTTTAAATCAAGATTGGATGCGTTTCTAAAAGATCTACTCTAGGAATTATTTTGGGGAGGTTTTATGGTGTGTGTAATACAGAAGGTCAGACTAGATAATCATAGTGGTCCCTTCTGATCTTAGAAACTATAAATCTGTGAACTAGGCCCCATGTCTTTTGTGCTATTCATGAATCCATGACTATGTCTATATTATGGTGACTATAACAGCATACTTATGTTGGCATAGCTCCATAGTGTAGACACAAGCTATCAACAGAGGTTTTTTTCTGTTGGTGTTGGAACACCCCCTCCCCAAATGAAGTTAGCTATGTTGACAGAAGCCGTCTTCTGTCAACATAGCTGTGTCTACACTGGGGATTTGTTGACGTAGCTGTGGGTCAGGGATGTGGGGTTTTTTCACACCCTTTACTGATGTAGCTATGCCAATATAATTTTTCTATGTAGATCAGGCCTAACTTGTAGTTCTGTCTAATGTTACTGTCCTTCAAGGTGGATATGCACACTTATCATGCAGCATAGACTTCATCTCACCCACTGGTGTAGAACTATAATATCTCACTATACAGTAACTTAGTCTGACTCTCAAAAATAAGACAATCAGACATGCCAGTTTTCAAAAGCATCAAAAATGACATGGAATAAAAATTCAGGCTATCAAATTTGCTTTAAGGAGTATATTAGATGCACTTTTGGTAACATGGGGGGTAGCCGTGTTAGTCTGAATCTGCAAAAGGTAACAGAGGGTCCTGTGGCACCTTTAAGACTAACATAAGTATTGGGAGCATAAGCTTTCGTGGGTAAGAACCTCACTTCTGCAGTGAGGTTCTTACCCAC